GGGGGTGAGGGTGTGTGCAGAGAAGCGCTCTCGGACGAGGTCCGTCCCCGCTCCCTCCCGAATGACGTCATCACACCTAGTTCACAATTGTAGAGCTGTTACTGAGATGAAGAATGTAAAGTTGGAGAGAGCGCAAGGATGGGAAGAAGATTAATGGGCTGCGGCGGCGGCGCTGAGCTGTGTGTATATGTGTGAGTGTGTATGTGTGTGTATGTGTGTGTATGTGTATGTGCGGCGGGCGAGTGGGGGAGGGGGACGCTCTCCTTGAGTGCTAAGCACGTGGGTTGAGTTGAGTTGTGCAGTGCAGAGCTAAATATTTTTGCCGTGTGTTGTGGTGAAGTAATTATGCTGGAATGAGGAGTCTTGACTATGTTGATGTGGAATTGTTTTGGAGCTAGAAGGGATGATGTTCAGTATCAGCAGCCTCAGCATCAGGCGACGTTGCAAGGATATTTACGATGGCAAGCGGGGGCCCCGGATGACGATTTTTTCCTTCGCGGCGGCGGATTTCCCACTCCAGGGCGTTCCCGTCTCCTTTACTTCTTATCCCCCTTACTTCTTCTTTCTTTGGACAGCAGCTAGGGTGACTGAGAGCGGGCAAGTGAGTAAAAACAATTTTCAAGTACGCACCCTTGCCACCGCTAGGCCTGCTTGCCACACTGTGTACGGCACCTTGATGCATCGTTATTGTACGGCACCAATATGTCGAATTGTTACTTCCCCATGGTTTAAGCTACCCATGGCACCTCGTTGTAAAATAAGGGCAGGAGGGGTTAGGGCGGAGGAGGTTCCCACGGAGGGGAAAAGAGGGGGAAGGGCGGTACGTGCATTCGTGGTGAGCCGCTAGTTCACACTCGTCGATGTGCCTACATACATATGTGCGTACAACAGACACACAAGTTGGAGGAAACGACAGCACTCGCACATCCAATGGCCGCAGTGCGGATAGTGCTGTGTATCTGTTACGCTCAGGAAGGATGTCTTGTGCGCTCTTTTGTATGTATGTATGTTGTTACAGGGTGGTTAACTTCGCCAGCGGCCCCCTTTCCCGGGGCAGTCCCTGCTCTCCCCTGCTAGAGGGGCACCCTAATCCGTCACCCCATCCGACTTCAGAATGTATTCGTTGAGTTCGGCAACTCACCACCAGCATCCAACCAAATCTAGCGGATCAACGGCGCATCAACTTAGTTCCTGGTCAGCTCGCAAGTTGATATTATCACGTCCTACACCGTCCATAAGATGGGGGGCCACCTCCCATTTCATCACTCCTCAAACACCCGAGGAGCCGGCAGGCGGATTTGAACCCGGGTCGACTGGGTCAACTGGGAGCAGAAGTCAGGCCTTAACCTCTGCCAGCCGCCTGCCTATGTATGTATGTATGTCTTTATATCTCTGTATATCCATGTCCGTGTGTAGTCCTGCTCCGTTTGGCTGGTGTAAAGTACGGCAAACCTGCTTCCCTTTGGTACGACTAAATGGCTTACGCCTTTTCTTAAATTATCTGCCGTTGTAGGGATTTATTGTGTGTAGTATCTTAAAACACACAACACATGCTGACATACATGCATACATGCTTCCTCGCAGCGTCCGAACACATCACCCGGGACGCCGTACGCCCCATTAACGAGATTGTGATGGTGATGGTGGTGATGGTCCATTCATTCCGCACAACGCGGGCAGTGCAGTATGACTCTCAGTAGAGTTTTATTTCGCAGCGTCCTGTGCCGCCAGCCTGCGTCACGGCGGGGACCTCCCGCCGGTTGCGGGGGCCAGACAGGCAAACAGACAGACGAACATACGTACCACGTCTCCACTGGCGCTTAGGAGGAGGAGAACCCCAAGCCCCCGGCCCCCCAGTCAAAAAGCCGAGGAGGACTTTTCTCCGTATCGGTATCGGTCGCACTCAACACTCGTAATCGTTTTTCTCAATCACTAACTATTCCAGCTTCATTCGCTCACTCGCCCGCAGCTTCTCACCCGACGATATGTTCTCGCACCTAGGTTAAGTGGATGTCTATTCTGTTACATGCCTAGCACCTGTATGTGAATGCCCGCAGCCGCAAACGCACACACACACTGACACACACACACACACACCGACACACACACACACCGACACACACACATACACTCACACACACACACTGACACACACACACACACTGACACACACACACACTGACACACACACACACACTGAAACACACACACACACACACTGACATACACACACACACACTGACACAAACACCCCGGCAAGCATACGTCACACACATGTAGGGACGGCACCCCATGA